ATTGAGGGTTGAGTGTATCCGTAAACACCATGGCGGGGGGAGGGGGATCCCAACAGTTCTGGGCTCTGATCTCATGGCTTACTGTGTGACCTTGGTGAGTTACCTCTCTAAGCCTGGGCTTTGTCTCTAAAATGATAGGCCCGTGCATTGGCCTGCTACTACATAGTTTTCAGGCACTTTCCATCCAGGGACCTATGTTGACCTACCTTTCTTCTGTGACCTGGATGACAGTCACAGGGTTTTAGTGAGGACATGTGCAATAATAGCTATAAAGAAGTTAATACCTATCTGGAGTATAAAAGAGACTCAAAAAGATTGGATGGCACAATCTTTTACCAACTAATGTTTCTAGAAATAAACAGGCTGGTGGATAAAGACAAGCTTGGGGTTAGTAAGAATAAAAAGAAGCTAAAGGGGGCACCTTGGTGGCTCAGTTGGTTAAGCAGATCATGATCTCATATCATAATTTGTAAGTCTGAGCCCCGCATCAGGTTCTGCACTGACAGCGCTGGGCCTGCTTGGATTCTCTCTCCCCCTCTCTCTCTGCCCCTCCCCTGCTCACTCTCTCTTTCTCTCTCAAAGTAAATAAACTTAAAAAAAAAAAAAACAAAAAAGCTAAGGAATCCTGCTCTACCTCCACAGCAGCCAAGAAAAGAGGAGCTAATGGTGGGGATAAGTGTCCCTAAATTCTTAAGTTTCAGGCAATCCTGTGTGGCTTCATGCACTTTGATTTGCTGCAGTATGATGGGTGCCCCATCTAAGAAAAGGTTGTGGGTTTTTTTCCTTTAGAACAAAACATTACAACCATCATTCTTATTTCCTTTCGAAAGTTGAACTGGGTCCTCCGTGGGATTGTTCAAGAGTGCCATCTAGGGGCGTCTTTGTGAATCCTTTACTTCCCCCTCCTCCACCTCTGTCACTGTAGGGACAGCCAGGTTTTGTTTTATCCTTGTGCTTTGGCTGCCTTCTGCACCATGTTATGGATACTCTGATGACTAGGATCTTAGCTCTCTCCATAGCATCAGGACTTGGCTCATGATGACCATTGATGGGTCAATAAGATATATCCATATGCATCCTCTTCTATGCTTTTCAGAGATTACTTACTCTGGGTGAGCAACCATTTCAGGTCTTAGAAAAGATCTGCCAGGAGCCCTGGGCTCTGAATAAGAAATGTCTGAAAATTTCCCCACAACACATTGAGATCCTAAGCTGTTTATATCACAGAGATGGGGACAAACCAGACTCTAACTGACCTCTTCTCCCTGTATTGCCAGATTTAGCAAATAAAAATCCAGGACACCCAGTTCAGAGTGAATTTCAAGTGAACAACAGATAACTTTTTAACATAATTATGTCCCAAATACCGAATGGGATAAACTTATGCTAAAAAAATTATTTGTTGTTTATCTGAAATTCTAATTTTACTGGGCATCCCGTGTTACATCTGGCAACCCTGTGTACTTAGAGTTGAGGGATTGAGGGATTTGAAGCCTGCATCCCTCTTGGGACTTATCAGACAGAAGATTAAGTCAGACAATTCTGGTGCAGATGAGGTAGCTGGGGAGTGTGTTGGGGGAGATGGCATTTTCATTCTCCTTAGTAGATATTTTATTTATTTATTTTTTAATTTTTAAATGTTTATTTTTGAGAGAGAGAGAAACAGCACGAGCAGGGGAGAGACAGAGAGAGAGGGAGACACACAGTCTGAAGCAGGCTCCAGGTTCTGAGCTGGCAGCACAGTGTCTGACCTGGGGCTGAAACTCAGGAACTCAACTGTGAGATCATGACCTGAGCCGAAGTCAGACACTTAATCGACTGAGCTACCCAGGCGCCCTATTTATTTATTTTCTACATAACAGACCACACGTAGGTTTTTGGTTAAAGCTAGGGAACAGATTCCATAGTCAGGTTCAAGTCCCAACTTTGCCACCAACCTAGCTGAGTGATTTAACCTGCCTGTGTCTGTTTCCTCAGCCATAAAACTTGGGATAATAATTGTATTTATTTTCTGGGTTGTTGAGAAGATTTGGAAAGATGATGCTTAGCACAGTGCTAGCAGATAGTATAGCTCAATACATGGAAGTCATAATCATTGTTTTGATGTTTTTGAACACAGGTAGACTTAGAGTTCACTAACTTTCAGATGGAAGCATGTCTCCTCCTCACCCACAGGGCCATGGGGCTCATTAGCACCATACCAGTCTCTTTCTACTGTTTCACTTTGTTGGGCTACAGCCGCTGGTTTTTGTGTGACATTGGGTTTCGTGCCCCATTATAGGAGGCCTGGTAATAACCCCATTTCTGTCTAAACCAAAGTTTCAAACCCTGTCACTAGTTCATTTATTCCAGATACTATTTGAAATTGTATATATTGTGTTATCTAAATGTCGTGTCTGTCCAGAAGATGGGGGCCCCCAGTTGTGGGGTAACGATCAGGTGGAAAACAGTGGCAAGGGCAGTGAAGGATTCACCTGAGGCAGAACAAGGAAGCTAGAAGTTTACCAAATACACCTCAAGGGAGGTTGGGAGGGGCAGGACAGCAAAGGAGAGGCAGTGGGTGGGGGCTATTTTTAAAAGGGAAATGTGAGGAGGAATGGGGATGTATGGAAAAAAGGGAGACTTTATGGTAGCTGTGCCTGGTTGTAAGTAGCCCATTGGTTAGTTAGGGCCTATGGATGTTTTGAGGTGAGTCCCCTGATGGTCTTGTCTATATTCAGCCAGGAGGTCACTGTGAGCCCTTCCTACATTCCATTGCTCAAGATTGTTTGCCTAAAAGCGGACTCTCCATATATGTCTGATGGTAGAGAGTAGAAATAAAAGAGATGGGGAAGCACAAGGTTATTTTCAAAGTATGGAGAGGGGTGCCTGGGTGGCTTAGTTAGTTAAACATCTGACTCTTGATCTTGGATCAGGGCTGACAGTACAGAGCCTGTTTGGGAGTCTCTCTCTCCCCCTCTCTGCCCCTCCCCTGCTCATGCACTCTGCCTCTCTCAAAATAAAAATAAATAAACTTAAAAAATAAAAAAGTAAGAAAAAGGAGAAACAGAAGTACTTGGTGCTGTGCTGGTAGGATCTCAGAAATGTTTGTTTTCTGGATAGGTCCTTTGTGGAAAGAGCAATGGACTCTGGAGTCATAAGGACAGGCTTCAACTTCTATTAGCTCTTATGAGTTGCATCAATTTGGGAAAGTTATGTATTTTTCTCAGTTTTGGTTTTCTCCTCCATAAAATGGGAACAACATGGCATTTTGGGGAAAATTGAATGAAATAACAGATATGCAAGCATGGCACCCCAAAAGAGCTCAATAAGTCTAACTTGGTTTTGAGGGAACTCAAGCGACCAAATAATGTGTGCTTTGAATGTTTGGACAGCAGCTAATACTGTAACCTGTGTACACAAGTATACATGTGTGTGAGTATGTGTATGTGTGTTTCTGTGTTTATAATAAGAATTATATTAAAAAAAAAAAAGAAAGAATTATGTTAGCCACAACATCTATAGAGTGCCTCCAATATCAGGTGACCAAACCATCCCACTGCCTAGGACTGCGGGGGTTCCCTGGATACAGGACTTGGAGTGTTAAAACCCAGAAAGTCACAGGCAAACTGGGATGAGTTGGTCATCCTCCTGCTCTGTGCAGATTGCTTTACAGACATTATCTCATTAAACCTTCCAACCTACCCTGTGAGGTAGGTACTCAAGTTTGTTGCCATTTTACATTTAAGAAGGACATTTAGAGAGATTAAGCAACTTCGTCAAGCCACAAAGCTAATTAATGGGAAGGGCAGGATCTGAACCCAGCTGGGTCCAGCCTGAGACCACCATGCTATAGGCATTTAGACTTTACCAAAGGCATAGTCTTTTATTGCCACTCATCTCTACATTCCCGGATCTTTGCTAAACACCCTCCCATCTTCCTTTCTGTCACCACCAATTT